AACCCAAGCAACTCTTTTGTTGGAAGAAACAAATACAGGAAAAACTCAGAGAATAAATAAATAATGTGTTTGTTAACAAACACATTAAACCATCCCATTATGTGAATAAGAAATTTAAATTGTACAATTGAATCATAAAGAGAACAATCAAGAGGGACTCTCCAACAAAAGCTTAGTTCATCAAAATGGTATAAAACCCCCTAGACAGCCCCTGATGTGGGATCCCTCCCATGCTGGGGATTCTTTCCTTGCTGGCTTCTAATAAATCTGCTACTAAATTTTCACCCTCTGTTGTCTGTCTGCGTACTTCATCTTCAGGTGTGTGAGATAAGAACACTCCAGTGCTCACACAACCCTGTGATACATTAGTGTGTCCTTCGTGGATAGCATCTCACTTTGTCTGAGGGTACTTGGTGTCCATATTTTACTTTGGGTAGGTGACTTCAGCTGTCACTGAAATCAAACTGGTCCGATAACATACATTGCTACACAAAACGTTATATCACTGAATGTTCACAAGGATTCTATAATGCAAATGTCCTTATTTCCATTTTGCAGATAGGGAAACTGAGGCTCAGAAATTTCTTCCCCTCTGGTCTTTGAAATTGGAAAAATTCCTACAAAGTATTATCTCTCATTTGCCCCAGAGGGATATAGGTATTGCTGTCCTCCACCCTTGGAGATGCCATCCCTAACAGGGAGTTAGGGACTGATTGTCTGCTGTTTGCAAGGATTTGCCTTTGGCAGAGACATTAGAAAATTTCACACTCCCAGCCAGGCAGAGCCAGAGAAGCTGTGGACCCTGGTCAGCTGGACCTCTTGTCCGCCAATGCAATAAGCAGCTTGGTGGGGAGATAAACGGATGTGATTATTGGCCTAGAATGAGATTTAGGGATTATCTATGGATTTTCTCTATCCTTGTGGTGGACACAATGGAGAGGGAAGGGGCTGTGGTTTCAGAACCCAGGGGAGGGAACTAAATATTTGTGTTGTACCAAAGCTTGAGGGTCAGATGGAACTGGGCTCGAATCCAAGCTCTGTGACCTTGGCCAAGTCATTTCTCTGTGTGACTGTAATTTCCTCTGTGCATGGAAGTAGAAACATGCCGACCTTTGCCTGTTCCTGCTTCCAATCAGAAGAGGATCACTCTCCGGTGTTCTGATTTGAAGAATTTTACATACAATCATAAAGGTCTACATTAATTACCTCTAAGCATCTTACCTTTTACTGCATGCCCTCAGCAACATCTTGAAACAGTAAACTGAATTTCTATACACAACAAAAACAGCAACAATAATAGCAGCCAACATTTACTGAGCTCTTCTCATAGAAGCACATTACARGCACATTACCACTTCATCCTCTCAATAATCCTGAGAAGTAGACTCTATTTTTATTCTCATTTGCATATGAGGAACTTTACTTTCAGGTGTTTGCCTGATGTCCCAAAGTTAGCAAAAGATAAGACCAGCCCTAAAACTCGAATCTAGTTTACCCACAACCAATACTTAATCCCTTTCTTAAATACCTCAATTGCATGTGTAAGATTTCTATAACTTTCTGACATGGATTTGAACTGATTTCCTGAGACTAACCATCATGCAATCCAAGTGAATCACTTTTGTGGGCATTTGCTATGCTTGTCTCTGAGTCCCTGACTCTTCATTCATAAATTTGGCATGATAACACTTCCCTTCCAATGGTTGAGGATTTGATGAGATAGATGTGTTCAAGGATTATCAGTTTTTCTTTGTTTCTCCTCCAAAATTAATATAAATTTTCTTGAGAGCATCAGTGAAAAATAAAAAAATAATTTAGGTGCAAAATGACAATGTTGGAAATTGTCTCCATAACTACCCAGGGCGGCACAATATGCTGCAGCTCTTGAGATGCTGTGTACCACACTGACTATAGATATGGAGAGTGGAGAAGACCTCATTCTTCCTATTTCAATACACACCCTGAGCCACTTTTCCAAGCACTGTGGGTACTCTGATCTAAACGTGTCCCCCAAAACTTATGTTTTGGAAACTTAATCCCCAATGCAGCAATACTGGGAGTTTAGACTATGAGGTCTCCACCCCGAGGAATGGATTCATTATGTTATAAAAGAGCCTGTGAAGACAAGTCGGCTCTCTTCTGCCTTTCTGCTACATGAGAATACAGTGCTTGTYCCCTTTTGTCCTCCCCTTTTTGTCTTGTGAGGATGCAGCAAAAGGCCCTCACCAGATGCCAGCTCACTGATCTTGGACTCCCAGTCTCCACAATTGTGAGAAAATAAATTTATTTTCTTTTATAAATTACTCAGTTTCAGGAATTGTAGCAGCTCAAACAGACTAAGACAGTGTGTTCAGAGATAAGCACAACAGACACGCTCCTTGCTCTCCTAGAGATTGCATTCCACTGAAAGAAACAGAAAATAAGCAACAAAAAAGTAAACAAGACATTTCAAAGAGCAAGTGTTATCAAAAATAAAAGAAGGTAACCATGTAGTCTAAGTTGGGGTGAAAAGAAGTTATTTTAGAGAATGCGGGCAGGTTAACCTTCTCTGAGAAAAAGCCATTTATACCAAGGTCTGAATATTGAGAAGAGTCATTCTTGAAAAGAGCCATGACCCGGAGCTGAGAATGAGAGGTGTATATTCAAGGAATAAAAAGAAATTTATGGCTGTCATAGAGTGAGTAACACTGATACAAATCAGTCCTCTGTAAGTTAGCCATTAGCAGGGTCCATGTGCATCTCCCAGAGGTGGAGAGAAACAGAAGGTAGACTTTAGTTCTTGAGCCAAGACTGAGTTTCATTAGCATAGCGACCATTAGCATAGAAACAAATGATGGTATATAATATCAYTGCCACAAAATAGAGACCATCAAGACCACAATCCAGGAGTCAAAAGATATCAAATAGAGGAAGTCCTGGATTGGCTGGGTGTTGGCCACCTACGTGACAATATGCTTTTCTGTATGTGGGAGAGGAAAATGTTAAAATAATTCAGCAATCATTTTGGAAAGCTAAACCCAGCCTCCTCCCCAGRGTACTCAGAGGTAGACAGCAGTGAATTTTTACTTTCTAGAGTCAACAGTCCAAAGAGTTGTATACTCACGGATTAAGTGATGCTTCTCATCCCTTCTCTTACTTGAACTACTACTGGAGCTGCCTCTACACTAGACTCYTTGCGCTCAGTCTCTTCCACTTCTACAAACAGTCACTGAACATCTTCATTGGTCCAAGTTTTCTACAAGGTGTTCCAGAACAGTAACTATGTGCCCACAGGTATGGTGCCCCCCTGGAGCTTCAGGCATACATTACTCCAGAGTGATATTTCTAGTGTCAGCAGAAAGCACTTTGCAAATTGTAAAGGATTGATCTAGTGTTGTTACTGTAGGGATGATCAAGGTGGTGATGGCAGTTGTTATATCAGGCCTCTTGCTTTTCAGTGACTCTCTGCTGTCTGTGAGATAGAGGCATGGTAGCAGAGGCCAAGCCAATTCCAGCCTAATTTCCCACCCTCTATCCCCTATATCAATTTTGCACTCCATCTGCATCAAATCTCTCATGGTCCCTTAATTTCACACAAGGCCCTTGAATGTTGTTTCCTCTGTCTGAAACATTCTCCCCCTGTTGTCTGACTGCAGATCCCCACTGGATCCTTCAAGGTTCAATTCAGCTTCTGAAACCCTTCTCCACAGCTTGTATTTATCCCTACTACCTCCCCTTGTCTGGCAGTAGCAGTGGGGGCACCTGGAACCAATCCCACATGGATACTGAGAGATGACTACACAATAATTTCAGAGAGTAATAAACAACGAAGAAAATTGAAATGATGTTAGAGAGTAATTGGGATAGAAAGCATTATTAGGTAGATGGTCGGAGAAGACTTTTTTGAGGAGGTGATGTTTTAACTAAAATCCAAATGCCAAGATTTGGCCATATGAGTCATGGTAATGAGGACCTCAAGCTGAGAAAATAGCAAATAAAAAGATACATATATTTTTAATTTTAAAAGAAGCTTGGTATAAAATGGAGGTCATGATAGAGGAAGTCTCTGACTCAGAGAAGAGTTGTTGGTGATAAAGCAGGAATGCTGTCATGTGGGGCCTTGAAGTCTGTGGTAAAAATATGTAAACCAAATGAGCCATCACCTGAAGGAAAGGAAGTTACTTTGAGCCTTGCATGTGTAGATTCATTCAGCAGATTTAATAGAACATCTATGGTGTGTCATTCTTCATGCTAGACGGAGATACAGAGAAAAGTAAAATATARAGCCAGTTTTCATGAGCTGGTCAGTTGAGGATATAGATGAAGACATAATTGTCACACGATGTGATAGGAAATCTAGTAGAGGCATGTAAAAGCTGAGGGAGGCTCAGAAGAGGAGTGACTGTGCCACAGGGGACAGGAAAAGTTTCACTGAGAATGCAAACACTTTAATTTACAGATTAAACACAAGGAATAAGGGTGGAAAAACATTGCGGCCAAAGGGAACAAACAGTAGGTACTAAGGCACTGGGAAAATCCTGTTGAGAATGAGTGGTCCTCGGTCATGATGGGACCAGACAGAAAGGAGGTACTGGGTCTTTCTCGTGAAGGACTTTAAAAACACCGTATTTTTAGAAAGATCTCTCTGGGGCAGGGTTGGTGACAAGAATGAGGTTCTAGAGGCAGTTAGGCTCATGAGTGGCCCCAGCAATAGAACAGGTAGGCGTAAATAAAGACCTAGGTTTGATTTTTGGCCACAGAAATTGAGGGAGAGCAAGGGAGGGAGATCCAGATCCAAGAAAGGATGCCCTAGTGAGGGACCCCCCTAAGTCTCCAAACTTCAAGGCAGAACTGCGTGTGTGGGGAACTCCCCAAGTCTCCCTCTTGATTTCACAGCCACCTCTGCTGGCGCCCTCTCTCGTCCCCGCCGCCAGCCCCCGCCTCTTTTCTCAGGAAGCTTGGGTCTCCCTGGGAGCGGGTCAGCCCTTGGGGGAGGCCTCTCGGCTCGGTGCCCTGCAGCTCGGCTGACATTCGGGGTGAACAGAAGAGGGGCTCGGCGCCCCCCGCGCGCACATGTGCTAACCCAGGCAGGAGGGAGCGCCTTGGCGGAGGAGGCAAGGAAGAGGGGAGGGAGAGGCGCGCCAGAATCTCGGTCCCGGGCGCCCTGGTCGGCCGCGGAGGAGCTGCAGCCTCCAACAGGTTCGTAGAAGGCGCGCTCGCTCCCTGTGGCTGAGCCGCCCCGTCCTCCGCGCGAGCGGGTTCGCTGGAGAGACCCTGGCCATAGGCCCCGCGCTGCGGAGCTCCCCGAAGGCGGCTTCCTCCGGCCTCTCCCTCTCAGGCAGCTCTCCGCCGCCGCTGGCTCTTCCGGGGCGAGGCGGAGGGCGCTACGGCTCCTTCACGGTTCAGCAGCACCTCGGGGCCAGCCGCCGTGCGGGGCGGAGTCCTCCTCCCGGGGTCCGCCCTGCACCGGTGGACTGGGGCCGCCCGGCCGGCGGGGTCCTCTCCTCTTCCCGTCCCGGTTCAGTACCACGGCCGCCGAGGACAGTCCCTCTCCCCCGCCGGCTCCACTCCCCGCGTCAGCACCGCCGCGGCGGACAGCTTCTGCCCAGCCGGCGGCGTCCTGGCGAGCGACGAAACAAAGCCGAGGGGCAGGCAGGGGAGCCCCCGGAGTTCCGTGCGGGTGGGCGGCGGCATGGACTGGGGGGTTTCGGCTTCTCCCGGAGTTGGGGCAGGGGCGAGCCGGAGAGGGGGGCCTAGTCACCACCGCGCGTCTCTGGCTCGGGTCTGCKGCTGGCCGAGGCCTGGCGGTGCAATGGCGGGTGTCAGCTGGAAGTCGGGAAGAGGGCAGAAGGGGACCGGGCATAGGAGGGTCCTGGGCTCCGGTGGGRCGAGCTGGGCCTAGTCTGAGCTGGCAGGAAGGAATGCGCCGCCCCCTCTTTGCCCAGACCGCCACCCCAGCTCAGGACCACGGACTTCCGAGAGACTAACCCAGGTGCCCGCGGCTGGCAGCGGCGGTCCCTGACTCCGTCTGTCCGCGGAACATCCCTAGAAAGTGTGAGGCTGAGTTTCCGTGGGGGGAGGGGGCCGAGAAAGCGCCGGGAAGCCGCGCGGAGGAACSGGGCAGCTCCGGGCTCCCCCTCCCACCTGCCCCGTGTTCCACCCGCACGACCCGAGAAATCCCAGCCCGCCAGGAAGGGAGAGGGGAGGAGGCGACCCGGGCTGCGGTGGGGGATCGCGGCTCAGCTCTGGGAGACTGTCATTAGCAAGAAAAGAGGTTGAGAGAGCCTGAGGAGCGGGGAGGTTCCCAAACAGGGAAGCCAGCTTCGCGGCAGGAAACCAAACCTGGAAGAGAAACCTTTTCTCTGGGAGCTGAAGCTGGGAGGGCCTTCGGATCACGTGGTCCTCTAGATCACAGATACTCTCCCCGGGAGACTGGGCCTTGGGGGCAGAGGTGATTCACCAAGGTCACTCAGCAATTTGGTAGCAAAATTGGGCCTAAAACCAAGTTCCTTAATTCCTGGGGACTGTTGTATAACGTGGAGAAGTCTTGCAGAATTCCAGATGCAAGAGGAGCAGAGTGGTTTCCATTCTGAGTGCAATCTCAGCTCTGTCAATTGCTAGCATATGACCTTGGGAAAGGGACCTCCTGATACCCTCTTCAGCTATTAAAGGGGAATGATAAGATTAATAGCTCCTGCTTATGGTGATGATTTGATGAAAAAGCTATGTAATGAGTTTAGTGTAGTGTCTGTCACCTAGTAAATGCTCAAAAAATGGTTGCTATTATTCCTTTTGTAAACATGTGCTAAGTACCTATCATGTGCCAAACACTGGCCATGTTCTGGTAGGATGAAGAAGTGTCCTAAGGATGTCACAGACCAACAGAGGAAACAGAAAAGAAAACACGATGTCAGTGTGGTGTGATTAAGTATGGAGGCTAGTAAACAAGGTTGTGGGATTTGGGAGGCAGGAGTGTTGAACTGTGGGGGGAGAAAGAGGGAAAGGGCCTCAGACACATGAAACTGTGTGTAAAGGCACAGAGATGTAAAATCACAGTGACCAGGTTTATGTCACCATGCCTGAAGGTCCTCAGGATGGGCACTGGGAAATGAGAGTAGAAAGGCTGCAGCCAGTTTCTAAATGGGTTTTTATTGTGGAATATTTCAAACATATTTTGAAAAATACAAAAGCTAGCGTAATAAAATCCCACATGCCCATCATCCAGCCTTAACAGTTGGCCAATTTTGTTTCCTCTGTACTCAGACCCACTCTCATCACGCACATCAACATCTACTCTCTTCTCTTTCACACACGCGCGCTCACACATACACCCCAACTTATTTTAAAGCAAACCCAAAATGTTGTACAACACATCACATCATTTCATGAGGAAAGATTTTAACATCAATAACAACTTCTGCCATTCAGATGCTGTACCACCTTGGAAGTCACTGACTCAAATCATGTTCCCTTCTCAGTCCTGAACATTCCTGTCCTTAGCAGAAAGTTTTGAGAGATAGACCACACTTTGGTGATAAACCATATGCTTTAGAAGAAATTATTTTAGGAAAAAACAGGGGCTGGGGTTGTGGCTCAACAGTAGAACGCTCGCCTAGCACATGCAAGGCCCTGGGTTCGATCCTCAGCACCACATAAAAATAAATAAAATAAAGGTATTGTGTCCAACTGCAACAAAAAAATAAAAAATAAGCATGCAGGGGAAGGCATCCACCTTCAACAGGTTTTCCTAAGGCTTCTTTAACTCCTCTACCTACACTAAGGCCATAGGCCAGCAGCTATTTGAAAGATAGACCAAAAGACAAATGGAGCCCCCAAAAGAAAAAGTGTTTCCCTTTCAAAATAATCTGAATCAGGGACTCATGAGGATAGAAGTCTTGAAGTTATGGAAATCACTGATTTAGAAATCATCAAGCCACATTTTACAGATGAGAAAGTCAAGGGTCAGGAATGGGAAGGAATTTACAGAGAGTTCCTCAGTGCTAAAGCCAGAGCCAAGGTCTTTGAACCCATAATCTGAAGTTTTTTCAGTTCACCATTTTGACTAGAATATTCAGCCTTGGAGTTTCTCCGCACATAAATATGGGATGGCATTTTCTTCACCAGCTCATAGAGGCAGCAGGAGGAAGGGGAAGAAAGCAAGAAATGTATTCCTAGTTCTCAAGAGGGTGGTCATGTTTGACAGGTGGTCTTTGGGCCCTTTGGTAAATTGCCCCTCTACATATTTTTGAAGTAAGTTGCTCCTGCTGGCCATTACCTTCTGGCCATGGTGCTAATCTCCTAACTGGCTCCAAGGGCTCGGCAGTCAGACACCCGGGCCTAATTTCTGTGGATTTTTTCCAGTCAATCAGATGCATGGGAAGCCTTTCCTTTCTCCATTAGCCCTGAATTTGGCTGCACATCCCTCTGGACTACAGACCACAGCTCCTTTGATGTGTTAAATGAGTAGTGTTTGGCCCAGACCCTGTGCAGGACTCAGAGCTCTTGAGCCTTTTTGGAGCATAATGTCTCTCCAGTTACTGATGCAATGTGACAGCTATGATGGGTTTATCTGCCCCAATCAGGCTCTAGGGCTCTGACTACACAAGTCAGCATTTTCATTTTTCAGGAAAGCCCTTTGCTGACTTAAAAATGGGAAAGATAAGATCTCACAAGTTCCCCCAAGTCTTCAGAATGAGAACCCATGAAAGGAGTTCTTAACATCCCCAGTGAAGGAAAGTCAACAGAGAACAGCCAACGAAATTGTTTTCCTTCTGGGAGGATGAGTCAGGCAAGACAAAGGCAGGTGATCAAAATTGTGAACTTCACCTTGTGAAATTATCCCAGCTATTAGCCTGGAATGAGACCAATTTAGAGGTATTATATTGTCTCTGTCTAGTTGAATTGCAATATGTAGAATCCCAAAGGAACTTGATGAGTCTCTACTCTTCCTTCAAGACACTTATTCATTGAGTGGCTATTCTGTGTCAGGCACCGTTCCAGGTGCTGGTGACATAGCAGAACAAGACACCTCACATYCCTGCTCCCCTGGGGCTTATAGACTCACAGTAGAAACCATCATTAATATCATTTAACAGGTAAATATGGAAACATATAAAGAGACAGACAGATCGGGACAGCCTGTCCAAAACAGTGACATGGAACTGACATCCAAATAGCAAGAAGAAATCGCTATGTAAAACTGTGGGAAAGAACATTCCAGTCAGAGGAATTAGCTCTGGCAGAGGCCCTAATGTGAGAATGTACTGTTTGGGGACAGGCAGGAGGCCAGTGTGGCTTGAGCAAGTGAGCAAGCAGGGGAGTGGCAGAAGATGAAGGCAGGGAGGGGAGAAGATTAGGTCACACGGAACCTTCTAGGCCTGCTCAGAATGTAGGATTTGATTCAAAACACTGTGGATGATTGCCAGATGGTTTTAAGCAGGAAAATGATTAAAAACTGGTTTTGTCGTTAAATGGACCTCAGGTTGCTGCATGGAGAATGGATGCCATAAGAATGCTGGGCTGGGCACAGGGGAGGCAGAGAGGGCGAGACACAGCCTCAGCTGCCTGGAGGTGCTTAGTATTCAGCCAAGGAGACCATATACAAACAAGGATGGCAGCACCCCGTCCGGAGGGATGCCTGGGGTATGCAGCATGGGGGCATCCGAGAAGGCTTCAAGGAATTAGGTGATGGTTGTTGAGTTGTACCTGGAAAATGAGAGTAAGTAGGGCTGGCATATAGGCGACCAAAGAGGCAGCAATGATAGCAGAGCAGTGTGTGTCCCAGGAGCCAGATGGCCTGGATTCAAACCCCCGCCCTGCCCAGTGAGTGGCTAGGCAAGCTATTTACCTCTGTGTGCCTCCCTGTTCTCATCCTTGAAACAGAGATGATGAGAACCCAAATCCTTATCTAAGGGGTTTCTGTGGGGGTTAAGTTAAGTTGGTGAAGCACTCAGAAAGTTCTGGGACTCAGAAAGTGCCACATGAGTACTGCTAAATTAAAATGTGGCAAAATGGGGGTGGGAGAACAGAAAGCACATGCTGAGGAATGTCAACTGGAGCCCAACTTAGAGGTATGTGGAATCTCAGGCCAGGGAATCCCATCTTGCTCAGAAAGCAATGAGGGGCCATCAGAAACATGTAAGTAGGGAGGTTAAGAATGGAGAGTAAGAGAAAACCCAAAGGCCCAGAGAGGGAAGTGT